ACAATGAAAACTTTTAATGCATAGGAAAAAGCTCTCCTCTGATGAGACACCAAAAGGATAATATATTTCCAACAGAAAACTGAGAAATGAGAGGGCAAATAGTAAACTATAAAAATAATAAAATTATATCAAAGATACCACAAGCCTACGTTATCCTAACACAAAATCACAAAAATATCAGATAAAAGAGAAGACGTGGCTAACATTCAGAACTGATTTAAAAGAAACATCTTTTGTCTGAGTAAATATTTTAGAAGCATCCTGAGAGGGACTAGATATATTTACAGAAATAAAAAACTACTTAAAAAAACAATGACAGTTGATGAAAATCTCTCTGAGAACACTGGGCAGAGGAGTATCAAGAATCTAGTCAAACCACTGCACACAGTCCACTGCTATCACAAGTGATTTCACTATGTCTCTTTCATTACATTATCAAGTTAATGTTTCTTCTGATATAGCCATTCCTGAGGTAACAACTCAGACCAGAGCTCATCTAGTTATAGTGTAATTACTGCTAATAAAGCTCTGAAAAAATAAAACTCATGAAGTGGAGGGCGTGCCAAAGTGCATTTGGAAGAACTACTATCCATTTCTCTACTGTAAGATTTTGCAAATTCTTAAGCACGTCATGCTAACCCTTCCTGCAAGCTCTATACCATGACTAGAGCTATGATACAATCCACTATTGCAATCGTTGTGTTATGGGGTACTTATAAGAAGAGATCCTTCACACAGAAAATTATACACTTCAGAGTCTGTCTTAACACTTCCTATTGTGGAATTAGAAACAGACCAAATGGACAAAGAAACCTAAATGATAAGAAAGTTTTCCCCTGTAAAGATTACCTCAAGAACTTAGATACTAAAATATCATTTAAGATGTTCTCCTAGTCTGAAAATATCTCCAGCTGAATATTTAGGGAGTTCATGTTTACAGTTTCTGAAGGTATTCTGTAAGTGGGCTCAATATGAAATTAAATGTATTTATCATCTGGTTTGACAAGTCCGCAGCTCAACCTTGACTTTTGTCAAAAGCTATTATTTCTATTCTATGCATCACCACTCTAAAGAAGTTCTCAAAGTGGATCACAGTCAAAAGTTCTGTAGAAGACATGAGACAGAAAACAACGATTTACTCCTCCTTTCCTAGACAGTTTCTGTGGAACTCCGAGTAGCAGGAAACAATAAAAGCGTATTATTGGTAATAAGTACTATCACAAGAATACACTGAACATGCTCAACAAAACCTGAGCTAAGTAAAGCTGTACCGCTTCTACAATTATAACATAATTCCTTATGCACAATAATTATGACATAATTTATTGCATAAAATATTTTTATAAGTACCTCCTCACTATAACAAGATTTTCCCCCTTTTTTGCTACATGCTTTGATCATGAAATTCTCGTATTCATCCTTGACATTTTCCACAAATTATCCTCTATTTGGAGCAGGGGAAACAATCTTCTCCTGACAAGTCCTACTCAAGTCAGTCCATACTTCCACACACTTTTTGCCCCATCCAGCAGCTGCTACCATCCACGCTCATATCCAGCTGTCAATTCTCCCTTGCACTAACACTGTTCTGAATCATAACAGATTTCTTGCTACCAAAGCAGTATTTCCTTCTCATTAATTTTATTTTTTAAAGTATGTGTCATTTTTACCAGTTATTTGCCATATGCAGCATACTCAGGGCTCTACACATTTAGGAGAGCAGTTGCTTGCACATTTGTACCATCTAAATTTGTAATGAAAAAAGGACATGTGGCTTAGCCTTTTTTCCATTCAACTGTGTGATGAGTAGGAACAGATAATCACTCCCCTCATAAGCTGTTCTCCAATACCAAAGCTTTCTTCCTTCTCGTCTCCCCATTCCT